GAAATAATTTAAAAGCAGATTCTTATTGATGCTATCTTTCAGTTTTTTTGGTCCTATTTTCTCACCCACTGTCGAATTTTCTTCTATTGATATTTGCCACTGTAGTCCTCCTTAACTTCCACTATGAATGCATGCCATCCCTATGTCCTTATAAAGCTTCATCTGTGAGGGAGAGGCATCAATGAGGAAGGATGCTGGTGGTGACGCCTGCCGTCTCCCTATCAATTTGACTTGATAATTTCATTCTTCTGCTGTATTCTACTTATCAGTTTGTACTTTTGGTTTCTCGTTACTTCTTTACTGGTTTCAAGTTTCAACTTAAGGGTCGTATATGGCATGTTAAGATTACAGTTTTCTTTGTGTCATGTTCATGAATGGCTGTGATGATATAGCTTCCCTGCGAGAGCTTCTATCTAACACCTGAATTGATTCACTTGGTGCTAAACTAGGATGGCTTGTGTCACAGCAAGTAACCAGTTCAGCAGCTAACTAGTACTCCCTCCGTTCACAAATATAGTTCATGGTGATTCTACCAGAAATTCAGTTATGGTGTCGAGATGGAGGTATATCTGAGCCATTTACTTACACATGTCCCAGTTTTTGTGTCCACCAGTTCATGATTTGTTCCTGGTATAGTGATTCTTCCTGCTATTACTGATTCTCCTGTTCTTTCTGGTAATTTGTGGCTCTTTGACTATTGGCTTCTCTGTTATTCTCTTTGTGGGATTTGTGCTAAGTGCTGTTGATGGCGATGACGAGGAAGGCTCATTCAGAGGTGTACTGAGATCAGATACCATCGCCTGTTTGCATGGTATGGGTTAGGGTTAGGGTTTTGTGTGACTGGGTGGAAGCGTGCAAATCGGGACGGCTTGCTTTTTGGGAGCAACCATTTCAATGCTCAAATGTCACACAGTGGATCACCAAGTGTATCGGATACAGAGTGGGTTCTGTCCATATGATAGACGAGCCAACTGAGCCTCCCATTATTTATTTATTTATTTATAAATACGGCCTTACTTTGTACATTTGTGGTTATGTGCTTATGTATATAATCTTCTCATTCTGTTAATGATTTATAGCAGTATCAGGATCTCACTGTAGTACTCACTCCGTTCCTAAATATAAGTCCTTTTAGAGATTCCACTACAAACTACATACAGATGTATATAGACATATTTTAGGGTTTAGATTCACTCATTTTGCTTCGTATGTAGGTCCATAGTGGAATCTCTAAAAAGACTTGTATTTAAGAACGGAGGGAGTATATGTTATCATCTGCGACACTTATGAGAAATGCTCATAGCGAACTGAATGTTGAGCTATTTTACACTTCCATACTCAGAATGTTTTTGAATTACTGATGCAACGAGAGGTTCTACTTTGTTTGAATAGAAAACAATCCTGTGTGCTGAAGGCCCTGGGAGGCGGCAGAGGGCTTCACATCTTTTGTTCGAACAATGCTATTATTTGCAACTGTACGACCACTTTGTTACTTGCATGTTCTGTTTCTTTGCTTAGTGTTCCGTTTAGTCGTTCCTGCATGTTTTTCTTCCCGTTCATGCTTTTATATTGTATAAGTTGTGCTACGTTGCTCTTCTTCATTTATGCATTTGCTGCACTATGGCACCTCAAGCGTCAGCAAAAAGATATTACATTTGGTCTTTGATGTCATGATATATTTATTTAGTTTTGAGTCTGCCCATTTATTTTTGGTATAAATCATGTGCAACCTAATCTGCAGCACTCCCACTGTTTCTATGTTTGCCTCTTGTGTGTTGCCCTCTTTCTATGCGCTGTTGATATTTCCAGTAATATGTGATTTGAACTTCAGTGTACTTAACATGTTGATCTCCTGTGTAGTTAATTGTTCAAATTCAAAAAATGTTAGAATTGTAATTTAATTGCTTGGTGATGATTCCCTTAATGAAAATTGATATCTCGGGATAATATGTTGCCATTAACCTCCAGTAAAACTATCATGGCTTTTGGAATCATATTTCATCTACTTGCCATTCAAATCCAAATTTAGGGAAGAACTGAAATTGAATTTAAATGGTGGTCAAATACTTCTGTAAAATCTTCAAAAAAAAAAAAATCACAGTAATGTGAAATAGTATAAATGAAACATGTGAATTTTCACAAATTGGTACTCCCTCCGTCCCAAAATATAAGAACGTTTAGGAGTACCTAGCTAGAGTTTTAAACCAACAAATGATTAACTAGCCCTTTAAGATCCAAGGAATAAATGAAATGAAGAAAAGAGAGGAGGAGCCAACCCAAACCAAACTCCTGCCTATTCCTTTCCCCACTGACCGATGGGAGCCACCAATCAGGTCGCCTTCCACCTCACCAGTGCGACGTGCAGAGAGCTTCCCGCTTCTCTTCACCTCTTTCCTCCTTCACTCCACCACCCTGTCCCTCCCAAAGCCAATGCCCTAGCCAGCTCACCCCCTCTATCTTGTTGAGCTCGCCGGAGAAACCACCTGAAAATAGGGAAAACCGTCGACTAGCGGTCTGGACACGATCGTGGCCTCCTCGCATCTTCAGCGAGCTCTCCCCTCTGCCTCCATGTCCCTGAGCTCCACCGTGTCCTCGCCAATTCACAAGCGCTCCCATGGCCGATTTGGCGCGGTACTCTAGCCGAGGCCGACGTCGCCCTCGGCTTCGGCCGACATCTCCCACGTGCCTTCTTCCTCAAGCTCACCTTCTGCTCGTCCGAGCCTCGAGCATTGATGCATCCTCTCGGCCAAGATCACTTCTGCCCGTCTTCTTTCCAGGACGGCGCCTACTATTGCCCGCTCGGGATCCGCCGGCCGCCCCGAAGGACAGAGCATGCAGCGCTCGCCACCGAACAACCGGATCACCTGTACGTTCACGACCTCGACCTCAACGCCGCAGATGCCATAGCAGCGGAGCAGCACCAAAGCCGCCGCCTATGACTCCCATACACCGGCGACACGTCCGCTAGCCATGTCCTTGTCCTCCCTGGCTCGGCGCCCTCACCATCTTCTTCTCTTCCCAAATCGAGTGACGCAAATTTTGTTGAGATAACTTGCAAATACTACAAACGTGGTTTACTAGTATTTATAAGCGAGCATTTTAAATGCAAGCCTGCCTTCAGGCTCAGTTAGGAATTATCAATGCAAATCCCAACCCATAATTATTGCGAAACTGTCCAAGCACAGCACTGAATCTTACAAACATTTCGGACATCATGTATGCAGTTTACAGTACCATTCAAGGTTACACAACACGAACAAACCACACCACTCCTTCCGGTTGACAGTACCCCATTCTTGCATCACGCAGAAGCTCGAGACTGATGTGCAGATAGGCTTTCCAAGTACTTGTCGACGATGTCCAAACCACAAATTTCCTTCACATGGGTCATCGGTGCAGGGACGTCGAGTTGGAACGTTAGCTGTGAGCTTCCAAACTCCTTCCTCGCCGCTCGGATGGCTTCTCTCACTGCACAATGGACGGATGCTGCAAGAACCATGGCAGGTTCCCCAGAGGCTGGCAGAGGCAGACTAGTTAAATCACTTTAACCAATAATAATTTTCAGCTGGCAAAATAGTAAAACTATATTCATGTTGCTTCAATTTAGAGAAAGCAGTCCTACTACATACCCTTTGACGAAAGAACGCGGTTCTTATGGTACCCAGTGCTGAGCACCTCAGCGTTGAACTGCTTCGGGATGGTGTCCACGCTCGGGATCTTGTAGACCCATGTGCTGTCACTCACAACCAGTCCATCGGCATTTGTTTCGTGTTCTTCGTTTATGAAGAAACCAATTCCTTGTATGAAGGACCCTTCAATCTGTAAGGTGGATGGTAGAGATCACATGTGAATATACGATACCATCATGTACTATAATGAAGAAAAACTCTGATTGGGGCTGCCATGTAATGTCCTTCGCTCTGTTTCGATGTAAAGCATTATCAAATAATATCCGTATTCACTACAAAAGGATAAAAGAAGAGCATAGCGCAGAGGAAAATATCTCAAACCTGGCCCAAGTCCACTGCAGGGTTCAAGCTCTTTCCACAGTCATACACAAGGTCGCTCCGAAGTAAAGTAATAGCTCCTGTAAGAACATCAATCTCTACCTGGATTTTTAGTAAAAAGTGAAAAGGAAGTCAGAAAAGTATCACAATATCCCATCCAGTAACTATTGAACTATCCTAGTGTGATTGACATTTAGCAGAATATTTTTGTACCTCACTTATAGCAGCTCCATAGTTCAGATAGGTGCTGGATTCTTGGCCAGGTACCCAGTATGCACTTGAGGACAAATTAACATTATCCTTAATGGCCTATTTGGGAAAGTGTTAGCACGTATAAAGATACCAATTCCACACACAAATATTTTACTCTTATGTAGCATAAAAATCCAGAGGGAAATGAAAAAAAAAACCTGAGCAATCAAAGCATCCCATGAAACAGCACCAGCGGATTGCTGCTTGAGCTTCTTCATGACTGGCTTTAATCTGTCAACCAGCATGTTGCAGGCCTCAAGGGTTGCTGCACAGCTAGATTCAGACGAAGTGCTGCCAGCAGTGAGTCCACCTTGGATCAAGTTCAGCGTGTCAGCCTGAAGAAGACGCACTCTATCAAGAAGGCATTCAGATCCATCAGGCCATAACTGTCCCAACGCGAAAACCGTCATCTGCTGTACTTTGGTCCACAGTCCCTGCCCAACCTCAACACCTCCAACCTCAACCACAATGGAACCATCGTTGAGCACAGAAACTCTTCCAGGAGCTGGCCTTGGTGCCACCTTGAAGATGAGGGGCGCACAAGAGATACCCCTCTTCCGCCACTTGTTGCGGTTGTTAAAATGCTTGATGGATTCAGCTCGATGCACGTAGCTTGACGTCGTGAGTAATCTATTGAAAATAGAATGCAATGTGTACGTCGATGCTTCGCCTGCGCTTTCTGGATAGAACAGCACAAGACTGTCATAGGTGTGGAAATTCTTCTGCCTGACAATATTAGCATCAAGCGACATGCTCGATGATGGCTTCAGCAATAAAAGAGCCTTGCGTATCTCCAGGAGCACGCATTACTGACTTGGATGTGTTGTTTGTCTTACAGACCTTGATGTCAAACGAGAGAGCACCCCAGTTGTATTTCTTCAGGCCTGACATCATAGTGTCAGGCATTAGGGGGCTCGCATCTGGAGAAATCCCAGCGTTGATGAGAATGTCCAGGTGCAAGGCTGTGATTCTCCCATTGGACTTGAAACCAACAGTGTAATATGCTTTTATGGGGTGCCGACCACCGATCATGATCATGTCAGTACTGCGGTTGAGATACATCCGCACTGGACGATGTAACTTGAAGGCACAAAGTGCAGCTGCCGTTGCTACCTGCAAAAGCATATATTGTTGGATCGCTGAGTTGCAATAGCTGAAATGGTCAATGTTTCGGCTTTCTTGGAAGCTGAATGAATGGTAAAATGAAGCTCAAATGGGCAAACTTATGTTAGAAGCTATCACTAGAACTCTAATCTAGCGTAAAAAATAGCAATTATTCATAAAATGCAATATTCATAAAAAAGTACTGTTAGATTGTTTCAGTTGTAACACACAGGCCTTGTTGGGCTGCTGTTCAAAATTGTTTGATCTTACTTACAGTGAATGATCTGAATGCCTTCCCGCCAAAGCCTCCTCCAACCCTTCTTGTAATAACACGCACATTGCTGAATGGAATGCCGAGGCACCTCGCTATGACATTCTGTGCAAGCTCAGGGTATTGTGATGAACTGTAGACCACAATAGTGTTATCTTCATCTGGAATCGCCAGTGCTGTTTGTGTTTCCATGTAGAAGTAGTACTGAGAGGCAAGTTTCACCTGCGATCATCGAAGTCATACATATTAATGCGTATGTGGTGTTGAAAACAGAGACCATCGAAAATCAAATTTAAACGTTTGCGTTGTTAAGTATAAAAACTTCCATTCACTTTTGAGCAATGCAGGTGAGATGTCAGTATGGAAAGGTCTCGTGGTGTGTAGAATTAAAATACTTCTGTTGAGAGGATCTTGTGATCAGCTTCTGCCATGCCCTTCGAGAAATCACCAACTTGTTTTGGATACTTCCCAGGAGGAACTTCGAAATAACTATTGTTCTGTACTGCCTGTTCTACAGTTAAGATGGGCGGCTTCAAATCTTTTGTGTCATATTCAACAACGACCTGTTTGCCTGCCAAGTTGGCATATCTCTGAGTCTCTGCAATCTGAGGTAAAGTACACATTTTAGTGACATCAGTATTAAAGAAATACAAAATAACAATTTTTTGTAGTAAGTTTTTGATTCTTAGAGAAAATGGTAGCTAATGCTTACTTGTAACCAGGGGAAATTTTGCATTAATTATAAATTAGTTTAATTTTAAAAGACTACTCATGATGTTTAAATTAAATATGATCATATTATGATAAAATGTGACATCAATACAGTGCATTTTTTTGCATATCCACTTGCATTCACATTTAGTAAGCAATGTTTTAATGAAAGAAAAGAATACAAGCTCACTGAAGAAAATTTCCATAAGCTTTCAATTAACCCAATCTAATACGGGTTTTCTTGGGGTATTTTACAAAAGAAATTTTGGATATATTTTGGATGAACAACTGTGTGATATTACGGTATAATATTTTAATTTGTACAGATTTGCCCCTTCTAATTAAAAATTACTTCTTCCTTAACATTCATAAACTTATTTTCCAGAGAGAAACAATGAAGAAAATCCTATTTATAAATTGACTTTACTATACAAGAATTTATTGTTGAGTAAACTAAAAATATGGAAGATAAGTACCACGACACCAAGAGCTTGTCCAGCATACTCAGCAACTGGAGAACCAAAAAGTGGTTCGTCCCCAAACATGAAGCTTGATCCAATATTTTGCCCTCCACTTGGAATATCCTTCGCGGAAACAACTGTGAGGACCTTCTCTGATGCTAAAGAAGGCTTGAATTTGATATTCTTGACATATGCAAGAGGCTGTGTGCTGTAAATAAACTCTCCATAGAGGCAATTTTTTGGAGCAGGAATATCATCTACATATACTGCCTCCCCTGCATTACAGAAGAAATTCTATCAGCCTAAACGTAATCATAAAGGAAGGATAATTTGGAGAGGAAAAGAACATGTAGATCCCATTAATAATTTTGATGATGTAAGCTTAATAAACACATACCAGAAGCTTGAAGCTCAACTGCATACTTTTTAATCGGCTCGCCAACTGGTTTATGATCACCACTGGAAACTGTGTCTCGACGTGAAGACAATGGAAGGTTACAGGGATCATCTGTATCTGAAGAACTAGCAGAACCAATGCTTGGATTTTTTCCAGGCCCTTTGATTCCTTTAGCAAATGGAGACAGGAAACTGAAGAGAAATGCAACAGCCACACTGACTCTGTATTCAGCATGTGATGTTCCTTCCATTGGTACAACTGTTTCTCTAAGTAACTGAACTGCTTCGAGCACAACAGATGGAGCGAGCACTTTTCCGTTCAGGTGTTGTTCAACTTTTGTTGCTCTAATAGCATGTTCCGTCCCATAGGCACCAAAGGCCATGCGTAGGTTACTCAGCACAAGATCACCAGACGATTTCTGGGAGACATGGCCCAGCATTGCAGAGTTAATATATGAAACCGCATTGCCAAGAGGGCGCGGCGCTGCTCGGTAAGTTTCGAAGATCACCTTACTTTCTTTCTGAGAATCTGAAGCCCAATGTGGAATAAATATGCTCAGGAGCAATGTACTGGGGTCACTAGGAGGCTGCTCCAGAAACTCTTCCAAAGTAACCTCTAGTGTTTGTGAATAAACCTGAAGACGAACAGTTGAAGCAGCACCGAGAAGTATGGTCGCGATGTCCGAGGGAAAAGGGTATTTCTGTGCTAGAATTATGTTCCCACCAATGCTTGCTGTGTTACGGACAAACGGTGTGGCTACCTTGCTCATGTGCTCGGCGAGTTTTCTGAAAACTACACTTCCATTTGGAGATGATTTAGACCCGGCTTCTTGCTCAAGTATCTCGATGGTCTTAGAAATTGGTGTAGCTGCTCCAATTTCAATGCCACCGTCTTTCTTCCAAATAGCTGAAAGCTCTGGAATGTCACCGATGTCAATATACTTGTCATATAGATCCTGATCCTTGTATCCCTTCACACCAGAACTTGTGTTCGCGACAACCACTTTAACTGGGCAGTCACTGAACAAGCCAGAGTTCAGCAAATCATAATATTGCTCGATGCTTTTAGGATGATACCAACCCTCCCTGGAGATCGTAACATCCGAATCATCATTTAGATGATGAAGTGAAGATTTTATCTCGGATTTCAGGAAGTCCGGGAAAGTGCAGACTCCACCACCAAGAGTGTAAGCTGGCAACTTGCTAACGTCGGCGTGCTTATCGCCTTTCTTCCAGAATACATTGAGGCCCAAATCCTCCAGGTCAACATCTGAAGCAAAACTTTTGCAGGCGTCGACAATTGGCCTGTAACCGGTACATCTACACATGTTGCCTGAGAACGCCCTTTCTGCTTCGGACACCGTCAACTTTGAGAACCCTTTCTGTGGCTCAGGCTTCTTGGATTTGTCGGCATTGGCAAGAGAGGTGAAAATAGACATGCACATGCCAGGAGTGCAGAAGCCACACTGGGAAGCATGGAACCCAGCCATCCTCTTCTGGATGGAATGGAAACCATCTTTGGTATTTCCCAGGCCTTCGGTGGTGATGACTGAGCAGAGATTTATGTTGTAGAGCAGAGTCAGGCATGAACTTGCGGAGAATTCAGTGACTTCATCTTTTGTTGGATTGTAAGTTGCTATGAGGACCACACAAGCTCCACATCCACCTGCAATACAGCACAACGATGCAGTTATTCATGGGATGCTATATCCGCATCTTCTCAGGACAAAATAAACATAACATTGATCTGGAGGAACAGGACGAACCGAAAGGACCATGGCGTTATGTGAAAATTGAACAAATATAACCAAATTTACTGATACTTACTAATTCCAATTTGGTTTGGATTCTTATTTCAGAATCTGAACTCCCAGGTAAACAAAAACAATGACAGCAGTGAATCATACGGATGCAAGCGTGTACACGATGAATGCCGATCCGCAAACTAGGGACGGTATGAAGTATGAACCTTATACTACCAGACTATAAGAATATTTGCATAGGAGTAAAACACACTATGAGTACATGAATTTGCCAGGGTGGTTCAGTTTAGTACATCAGCTAGGAAACCGGTCAATTTCAGAAGTGAAACCTATTCATGCATAGCAAAGTATATGTAGAAATCATCCAGAAAAATCCCCCCTGTCTCAGAGGTGCGGAGACCCTCACCGCCGTTGTCGCGCAGGACATGTGGTGCGCCAGCGGCATGTGAGGCCGCGTCCTCTCGCTTCACCCTCTGGATCGCCTCCGGCCATGGGTTGGGTCAGAGGGGGCGGGCGGAGGCAGAGAAATGGTAAGAGATTGGAGAGCGAGGGGAGCGGGGACGGGACGGGGGACGGAAAGGGACGACACGGTGGCTCGACGGAGATGACGCCGGATTTGGGGAAGACGTGCGGCGGCAACGCAGAACTAGGGATTTGAGGGCCGGTTTGGGAAATTTGGGTACCGTTTTTACTCTCAGAGGTATGAGGGGCTCTTTTGCAATATTCCTGTGATTTTGTCAAATATTGATATGGTTGATGGGTCTGTTTTTAAAGTAACATCACTAACAAATTTACGCATTCCGTGCATTTTATTCTTTTCATAAACTTTTGCAGTATTGCATCACCATCCGCGGAGTTTGTAGTAATGATACTTTATCCGTAAAAAATATAAGAGTGTTTAGAGCACTATTTAGTGATAGTGATCTAAAGGCTTTTATATTAATTAATAGAGAGAGCACTTGTGTCTAAACCAGGGATTCGTGATCTTCACAAACTCTATTTCATCAGGCTGGTGTAATCCACAAAAAAATAATACAAAATCAAGCCGAATTTTGAATAGCTTTCCCTACATCTTTGTTGATCCAAATGCTATCATGTTAAATGCTACCCACCACTTATGTGGTTAAATTGTCACTTTGGATCCTTAGCTTAAGAGATGCTACTTCCGTTTCAAAAGAATTAAAGTTCTAAATTTTTCCTAAGTCAAATTTGTGTAAATTTAACAAAGTCTATAGAAAAACATATTAACATCTAGAACATCAAATTAGTCTCATGAGATTATTTTTGCACTAGTATATTTGTGTTGTAGATCTTGGCATATTTTTCTATAGGGTTAGTCAAGCTTAAACAAGTTTGACCAAGGACAAAGTAGAACTTCACTTATTTTGAAACGTAGGTAGTAACTCATTAGGTCTTGTTCTAAAATGTAGAGCATACTTACATTGGCTCAATGTACATTGTGGATGTACTGACCTTTTGAGGGTTTTGAGCCTATGAGAAGGAGAGGCCGTTACCAATGGCGCTACCAAGAGCAGGTCCAACGGGGAGGAGCTCAATCGTAGTGGTGCGGTTGCCATAAGTTCTAGCAGGCTCATTGAGCTAAGAAATTGGTGGGGTGGAAGACATTGACTTGCGCTAGACCGGAAATATATTATCCAGGTGGAGCTACTAGTAGAAAACAGGGCTTTGGTCACAACGCAATATACACATTAGTTCCGGTTGCATTACGAACTGGGACTAATATAGCATTAGTCCCGGTTCAAGCGGCTAAAGGCATTAGTCCTGGTTCAAATGAGCCCTTTAGTCCCGGTTTGACACACGAATCGGGACTAAAGGGTGCGATGCCCTTTTGTCCCAGTTCGTGTCTCAAACCGGGACTAAAGGGCCCATTTCTCAAACTCTACCCCTCGGGTGTATCGCCATTTCAGTTTTGAAAAAACAAAAGAAAATGATAAAAACTTCAAAAAATAAAATCCTTCGAGATGTAGTTATATTACTACATCTACTAGTTAGGAAAATTAAAAAACTTAAATTTGGACATGTTTTGCAAAAAGTGTCATGAAAAAGTAAAACGGCTATAACTTTTGCATACGATGTCGGGAAAAAATGTATACTATATCAAAATGTTCAGCACGAAAATACACATCCGATTTTGACCGCCTACGGCCTGTTTGCAAATTTTTAGAATCCTCAAATTCCAAAAGGAAAAAAAAGATATGCTCAAATTTCAGTTTTTTTAATTTTGGTTAAATCTGGTTAAACTATGATCAAACTACTTATTCAAGAAGTATTAGTGTTACTACATAATTATTCAAGAATATTAGTGTTAATAAATAATTTTTTTTGAATTTTGGTCAAATCTGGTCAAACTGTGGTCAAACTACTTACTCAAGAAATATTAGTGTTACTAAATAATTATTGTTTTTTAGAATAATAGTTTCAAACTCAAACAGTAAAATGTGTGACTTAATGCTCAAGCTAAACTCGGAATGATGAGGGGTGATTAGAGATTAAATTGTAAAATAATTCAGAAATTTGAAAATCAAAAATTTTGTAAAAAAATTCAATTTTTTCTGTAAAATTTCCTTTAGTCCCGATTGGTGTTACCAACCGGGACTAAAGGTAGAGCTCCAGACAGCAGCCACGTGAAGGGCCTTTAGTCCCGGTTCATATAAGAATC